GCTCCGGGGGGTAGGTGGGTGGGTGGGTGTGTCCCCATCTTGCTTTTTGTTTCAGCTGTTTAGCCAATGTTGCATGAACTATTTATTTCCAGCTCACCAGCGATGGGATCTTCAGCAAGCCTGGAATTCACCGGGAATTAGCTAAACATCTCGGCAAAGGCAAAATGCCCTTGTCTACCCATGTTTTGCTTTGCCCTCCAGGGCATGGCACTGCTGACACACACAGTCTATGGGAAGGCTGAGAGGTAGAGGTGGCTCACCTCCCTCTGGGCTGGTAAGGGAGAACAGAGTGGCATTTAACGGGATGTGGTATCCAGAATCAGACGTGATCCAAAATGAAGCTGCTAACACAAAAAAGCGAGCTGCAAAGGGAAGGGAAGTGACTTGGCTGCAAAGCTGGGAACAGAACCCAGGAGTCCTGACTCCCAGCCTCCCGCTTGTTTGTGGGCCCTGCCCTGGGGCATCGGTACAAAAGCAGCGATAGGAAAGCTCAGAAAGTTTGGAGGCTCAAGTTCAGATAAGCACCCAACCACCATGACTGCTCCTCTGCAAGGTCACTTGGCTTCTGCGCTAGCCAAACCCCTTGGAGCTCCCATGCATCCGAAGAAGTGAGGTTTTAACTCACGAAAGCTTATGCCCAAATAAATCTGTTAGTCTTTAAGGTGCCACCAGACTCCTTGTTGTTTTTGTAGATTCAGACTAACACGGCTACCCCCTGATACTTGACACCCTTGGAGCTGCCAAGCCAGGCTGGAAATCTCCCTCCCAATATCACAGTTCTTGCAGCTTCTGCATGGGCTGGGCCAAAGACAGGAAACAGCTGGAGGCACAGTACTGGGGGACTTCTGCTTCTGGTCCCAGGAGACCCAGGATGTGCAGAACTGCACTGAAAATTAAGCACCAATTCCTCCAGGAAAGGGCTGTCAAAGATTTCTGCCCAAACGCCATCCCACATCTCGAGTCGTTTCATCCAGTCAAGTAAGTGAACAATGCCTCAGGAGGGTTGGAGTCTGCAGCCATCACTGCAAACACACAGACTGCTACCACTTGAGCTGGAGAAGTAACCGTCAGGGGTAAGTAGCAGTAGTAGGTTGTTATCTTCTATGTTGACCCCAACCCCCACACTGGCAGGAGAGGTTGAGTGCAGAACACACACTTTACAAGCATGTTGCATGAGGCTTTATGAGAATCGTCTGAGATTCCCCATCCCTTCTTAATTTGATATAGATATATAATTCCAAAGCTCACTGTGCGCTCTTTTAAATAAGAGCTTCGGTCTATAATTTAAACAAAGGAAGAAACCCAAGAAAGAAGTCCGTGGCTGCGTCCTCTCCATTTTGGAGCGATTCTGCTCACCCAGCCATAGAAAAGTAGATCTGTTCAATATTAAAAGCAGAGACCAACATCTGAGAATTATTCACATCATTCCAGGGATGAAACCATCAAATTTCTTCATCTCTGCAACGCGGGAGGAGATGGATGGGCTTTTATCTGTAGCCTGGAAAGCTAAACACCCTCCAGGAAGTTTTCTTCCTGCTTTAATCCAAGACCCAGGTAATAGACTGATGCCCCTTCAGAGCCCCCCTGGCTCTGATACAGTGAACACCAGAGCTACACCACGGTTTCCGTGACTCCAGTCAGTGAATTAAATCTGACACTGGTTGAAAACCGCAGTACGGCACGAAGGCTGGACTCATGCAGCCAGCAAAGCAGGTGCTGTGGGCTCTTCGGAAAGGGTGAGTGGGTTAAAGTGAAAACTTTTAAAGGTTTAAAAAAAAATTTCAGAGGCCAAAAATTGTCTGAAAGTTAGTTCCTCCATCCAGAGTTGGGAACCTGAACAAAAGGGGCCTGATTTTCCAGAGGGGCTGGGCCCCCAACATTTGGGCTTTCCCCCTCCCACCGGAGGGACCTTCATATGGGGGCAAATTGAACCCTTTCCATTTCAACCCAAAAGGGAGCTTTACCCCGCCTTGTGGAAATGCTGGCCGGCCCATCAGCGCCTCCCTGCCGGCTCAGGAACGGCTAGACCAGGGTGATGTGAGGAACACTTGTGCCTTAAATGAAATGAGACACCGAGCTTCTTTCCACCTGACTCTGATGGGGGTTAAAGATCCCATGATGACACTTCAAGAGAATACAGCCGAGCCCCGGCGTCGTGGTCAGCGCTCCCCTCCCAGCAGGGCCGGCTCTAGCGCTTTTGACGCCCCAAGCAGAAAAAAAAAAAAAACGGCCGCGATCGCAAGCGGCGGCAGCTCTACCGCCGCTTCATTCTATGGCAACAATTCGGCGGCAGGTCCCTCGCTCCAACAGGGAGTGATGGCCACGCCGCCGAACGGCCGGACGTGCCGCCCCCCTCTTCATTGGCCGCCCCAGGCACCTGCTTGCTAGGCTGGTGCCTGGAGCCGGCCCTGCCTCCCAGCACGGCTGGCTGCAAGCGCACATGTAGGCGCTACTGTTGAGCGGAGGCTGCATCTTCTGCTTGGGTAAATTTTTCATATTGTTTTGTATGAATAGTGTGTGTGCCTCAGTTTCCCCTAGGTGGTGCATGTTGACTGGGGTGAGAGGGAAGGGTTGTTTACTCTTTGCAGAGACCCAGAGCTACAGGCGTGACCAATGCCTAGCTGCCTGGGGGCCACGGACAGTCCAGAAGACAACGACCACTCCAATTGCCTGGGCTCTTAGGAAGCCAGTGGGGTGTGAGCAGCTGGAGGACAAAGGACTGGAGAGGGGCCAGGTGGGGTAGGTAAGTGCGGGCTGCTGGAAGCCGCGAGAAGGGCTCAGAGGGTCTGGACTGACCCCGATGGACTTTGCTGTAACTTTCCGTTCTCTGTGGTAACTAAGGACTTTCTACGCTGTGTTCCAGATGTCTGATAAACCCTCCGGCTGCTACAGCGGCAGGAAGTTGGGGTGCACTGCTCCCTTTGGAGGTGCAAGTCTTCCCCAGGTGTCCAAGCTAGGCGGACTCGATGAGGAGAGCGCCCAGCGTGACCCAGGGGGGCTGAAGGCTCAGCAGTTCGGTCCCAGGAGCAGTGAAGCCGAGGGGCTGACCCCAGTGGGTGTGTGACCCTGGGGGGGCTGACCCGCTGAAGGGCTCCTCCCAGGGACTGGTGCAGAGCTGCCTGACAGCACCAGACCTGTGGACCAGGCCCAGCTTGGCAGGCCCGTCACTGCTCGCAGCTCACGGTTAGCGCGCCAAAGGTGCCAGTGCGGACCCAGGCTCAGCACCCGGTTCCGGGGGCTTCCCGTTTGCTAAGGCCACTGCGCCAGGCTTTTCCTCCCAAGCCTTTCCCCTGGGCGCTGGCACTAGGGGGTGGGGCAGTGCTCCCGGGGCAGGCAGCACATCTGGCCCTGGGTTGTCTGGCCCTGCTCAGAGAAGGTCTGGGTGCCCCGGTGGTAAAGCCATCGCCAGCTTGCGATCGAGGCACCACAGCCACTTCAGGCTCCTGGGGACCAGGTGCAGGGGCTTGCTCCAGCCGCCGCTGGCATGAAGGGAAAGGCTCCACGGGCACCAATGAGAGCAGAACGGGGCCCTAAGGCCGGAGCCCCTCCTCCACACCTACGGCCCAGTCGCCGTGCGGCAGTGGGGTACCCAGCAAGCAGACGGGCACAGGGCACATTCATGGCAGCCACATGCTCCCCCCGTGGCTTGTGTAGCAGTGGGCCACAATGTCTACGGAGCTCATGTCCCCACTAGCGTGCCGGGCCCACGGGTCGGTAGCGTGAGCTCCCCACGGGTCGCTAGGGTGCCGGGCCCACAGGTCACTAGCGTGAGCTCCCCACAGGTCACTAGTGTGCCGGGTCCACGGGTCGCTAGCATGAGCTCCCCGGGTCGCTAGCGTGAGCTCCCCACGGGCTGCTAGCGTGCCAGGCCCATGGGTCACTGGCGTGACATACACACCGTGAGTTGTTACTGCCCAGCATGGCCGCCCAGGACCAGCGCAGGGCCGGGGCATGCAAGAGAGCTGGCCCCACGGACACAGCACACTGCCAGTCCGAGCCCCGGGCTCTACGTTCCAGCTCCCTTAGCCAGCACCGGTCACTGCACGGCTCAGCCCAGCCAGCCCCAGCTGCCTGGCCCCAGGGTGGGGGAGCACCCTAAAGACCCTACAGGAGAAAACACCACCCACCTGGGAGCCCTTCCTCCCTCCACCAGCCCCCCCTCCTCACCCCTCTGCTGGCTTTGGGGGCTCCGGCTCCGGCGCTCTCTCTGGGACTGGGGGCTCCTCCGCTGCTGGCTTTTCCTGGGGGATCTCCGGAGTTTCCTCCGGGACATACGCTGCCTTCTCTTCCTTCCTCTCCTGCTGCTGCTTCAGTGCTGGCACCTGTGGCAGGGGCACTTGTTGCTTCGCCGGCGGCGGTGGGTAGGGCTCGCGCTCTGGGGGCTTGGCCTCGTCCGCCTCCTGGTCCCGCGGCACCTCGGCCTCCACCTTGGGGTAGTCCTGCTCATTCTCGCTGTAGTCCTCGTCCTCCTCCTCGGGGTAGAAGTCCTCCTCCCAGCGGGGCGAGTCGTCGTGGTAGCTGACGGAGCTGTGGCAGGAGTGGTAGGAGTCCCCGTCCCGCTCGTCCAGCTCCGAGCCCCGCAGGCTCTCGTTGTCGGGGTCGAAGTCGTCGCTCAGCTGGGAGCTGCCCTGGCTCAGCTCCCCGGACGAGGCGTAGCGGCTGCTCCCGGTGGGGCTGCGTGGGGCGGGTGGGGGTGGGGTGGAGGGGAGAGAAGGACAGAAGAGGCTTAAAA